GGGACACAGAATTTTTAAACGGGAGGGCCCACAAAAAACCTTTTCTTAGGGCACGAATTGTTATCGGGGGGAAAAAGACACGGAATTTTTAAACTGAGGGACACAGTTTTTGGGTTACCCCAGGGACACGGGAAATCGTTGAATTTTAAAAGTATGTCGGGACAACATGCAGAGGGTGGCTGAGGGGGCCCCAATTTTTTTAAAAGGCGAGCGGGACGTGGCGCAGGGGAAAGGGGTCGAGGCAGCACAATTCGACACCCCGGGGGCCCGGGTGCCCCCCCGGTGTCATCCAGCAAGTGTGTCTCCCCCGGGAAAAACCCCCTGCCGTCTTGGGTTTGGGTTTGGGGTGGGTTCGTTTTTCCTCTTTCCCAGGCCCCACCTCTGACACCTCCCAGCAACGGTGGGGTTGGGTTTACGTCAGCACAAACCGTTATTTGGGCCCTTTTGGCCGGGACAAGCCCACGGGAAATCACGTTTTCCTCTCCCTTCCCCTGTCCTTTGGTGTTCCCTCCCCAAAGCAAAGTATGATTGCTGTGGGCTCACCCAAAAAGTACAGTAAAGGAAGAGCTAACAGAGGGCGGTCGGGAAAACGGGGGGGGGGAAATCCGCCCTTTTTCCCAGCCAGGCGAAAAAAAGGTTTAAGTGGCAAAGGAGAGTGGCTGGGTTTAGCCGGTCTAGGGGAACCAAGGTCTGTCCCCGGGCCCCAAAGACGCAGCCGAGGGGGTAGAAAGTGAGGCGGGGGGGAACCCTACTTGATGATGGGGGGGTTGATCGCATTTGGGCAGCCTCGCCCGTCATCAGGCAATTTTTCCGCATCATGGGAAAAGAAGGGGGGGCCCAGCTTGGCAGCGGGGCAAAACAGTCGGGGGGTTTTTGCCCAGGAGGGCAGGGGCGAAGCAGGTGTCGTGGAGACAAGGGCCCAGGGGTTTAGAGCACCGCCCCCACTGCAGCCTAATAAAGGGCCCAGTAGTGGTCCGGTTTTGAACGGGGGGAAGCAGCATTTTCGGCCAGTAGTGAGGATTTTCGGGGGGCAAAGTTTCCTACTCGGCGGGGTGGAAATTTTTTCTTTTCAAAGCCACCCGGGGAAGTAAACTTTCCCGTTTTTTGTGGGGACTATGTGGCCAGAAAAGTAAAAGCTTTCCCCCCCGGGGGGGGCCCTTTTGTTGGGATTTTACGGGGTTTGCGGGAAAATTTTGCAGCGTGCCTTTGGGGGGGCCGGGGAAAAACCCGTGTTTAAAAGATACGGCGGTTCTGCCCCGGCCCCACCCCCCCGCTCCCTCCCCCGCCCCGTTACTTGCCCCCGTACCCGCGTCAATCACCCCCCCCCCTTTTTCGGGCCCGGGTTTTAAAGGGCCCCAAAAAACCCCTTTGCTGAGGGGGTTGTCGCTCTTTGGGGCATTTTCCCGTCTTTCCCGTGCCCCTTTTCCTGCTCTCCTCTTAAAAGGGATTCAGTCAGCGTTTTTTCTTGGAACCCTTTTTCCAAGAGAAACATTTTTGCGAGCAAGGCCCCCCGGGAGGGTTTTGAAAAAAAGCTGAACTTTCCCCCTGCCCCAAGTTGCTGGTGCCCCATTTCCCTCCCTTTCCAAGTGGTGGGATTTTAAAAAAACCTTTCCAAAAAAATGATGGCTTTTTCCCGGGCCCCGCGGTGGAGGTGCCAACCCTTATTTCTTCCCCAAAAAAGGCAGTCCCAAAGCCCTGCATTCGGGATTTTAAAAGGGGTTTTTGGTTTTGGGCCAGTCTTTGAGCTTTGTCGGTTTTTCCCCAAAATTTGCAGGGCAGGCCGCCGTGTGGAGCGGGAAAATACGGTCGGGGCCCCCCCGGGGTTTAAAATTGTTTTTTTTGGGCCCCCACTGGGGGGGAACGTGGTGGGGCACGGGCCGCACCAGCAACTTGGGGGTTTCAGGCTTTTGCCCCCACTTTGCACGCCCTTTGGGTCCACAAAAGTTTGTCCCCTCTAACCTCTTCTTCCGCTTTGCCCTTTCAGCCGCCCCCCCTTTCCAAAGTCCCATTACCCGACCGGAAATTACTTGTGCGGGGGGCGCAATGGTTTCACGCTTTTTCTGCATTTGGTATGCCTTGGCGAAAATAGTCACAAAAGGGGAGGAACTTCTCAGTGTATAAAACCGGGAAAAATTCGACAGATGGTTTGTCTCGGCAAACTGAAAATGGGAAAACCATTTTGACCAAACAACAAAAAAAGGAAAAAGGTGTCTGCCTGGGGTAAAGGGAAAAGGTTGTGCCAGGCGCCAGCATGGCCCCACGTTTTTTTTAAATCGGGGTTTGTAAAGTGGTTTCCTAAAAATCCACCCATCCCCTGCAAGAAAAAAATCCTTAAAATGTAAAGTAAATTTGATCTTTCAGCTTTCCCCCACCTTCCGCAAAGCACCCCCTCTTTGGGTTTTGGCAGGCAGAAGAAAGGGAATTCCACTTCTTCGCATAAATCTGCGACTTTGCAAAAAAGGGTTTGGAATTAAAACCCTACAATGTTAGACCGTTTTACAAAGCAGCAAAAGGCCCCTTTCCCCGATTTCCTAAATGTTAAAAAGGGGAAAAAAAGGTACTCCCCTGTGAAATTTTCGATGTAAAGCCTTTGGGCCCGCTCATGCGTGACACCTGCCGCTTGCTCGGGGCCCTTTTGAGGAGGCCCGCTATTCGTGAGTCGGCCAGGGGCTATGGGAAAGAACAGTTTATTCCTCTTTTGCAAAATCCCTTTAACAAATGCGGTTAATACAATGGATGGTCATGGGTGGCGGTAGAGTGGCGCATAGATCTCGAACGCACATGACCCTGTGGGGGGCAGGACTGGGAAGTCGAGGAAGGAGTTTTGAGGTAAAGGACATTTTGTGCTCAAGGAGTTATTGTAGTGAAATGGGTTGGTGTTGTTTCACTCAGCGGAACTAGGTAGTGGAGGAGCAGGAGCATTGGTAGGAGGAGAGGAGGAGGAGGAGGACGAGGGACCCAGACGCACCATGGCAAGGTTTGCGCTGTGGATGATGGAGGTCAGGGAGTCCCTCAGCATTTTCCCTTGGCACAAATGGCCCATAGCAGATGCTCGCGCTTGCTTGCGTTATCGACAGACCGAATAAGAACATCAGACGAGGGATTGACTTTTGGTTTAGATGTACTGGGCTGTCCTACGCTTGTTGGTCCCTCGCTACCGTTCCAAAATGGTGGCCTTTTTCACACCTGCTGAGAGGGAGGGCCAAAATAACGTACTATTATAAAACCACATATGTGTTGTCAGTTGGTCTCTGCCTATTTGTGCGCCAACGGCCATCTCTCTCAGGACCACTGTGGGTCCCCTTTGCAGACTCGCGTTCCGCTGCCATGGCAGCAGGGGTAGGGGTGGGGTGGTAGGAGCAGTGGCTGCTCCACCAGCAGCGGCTGCCTCAGTCTGCAGTCGATGATGAGTAGGCTTTCTTCACCAGCGCAGTGAGGAAACTACTAACCAGCCGCGCTGTTAGCAAGCAGCAGAGAAGCAGCATCAGGTGGACCTGGAGCAGGACCTCAAACAACAGGCTTGGGCCTACTTGGACTGCACCCTGCCAAACCGAAGGGGGTAGACAATCCTCCTTGACTACAGGGCAACGAAAACTTGACCTTTGTGCCCAATCTAGCTGAATTTGCCGCTTGGAAAGGTCTGGCTGTCATGGTCACCGGCCAGTTAGCGTTGGCATCGGAGCAGCGAGTGTTTAGTGTGGCAGGAGGTATTGTAAACTCCACGGTGGAACACGACTGTTCCACCCATAGTGTGGAGGGAGACTCTAGTATTGTGTGGAAAATGAATCAGGGCGTGGATTTAGTCCTGGATGTTCGAAACCACCAGTTCCTGACAACAACTGACTAATATCCGCCAGGAATCATTGCTCCAATACATTGTGCACCCTTTCAGGGTCTCCTACAACACTGCTGAGTGTGTTACATTTTTTGTCATAGGGTTGATGGCTGATTACGGGACTCACCATAGCTGCTGTCCAGGCCCCTAATCTGCCATAGGCTCCTATATACCGCCTCCTCATGCCCTGCTTGCCAAGTTCCAAATGTCTGAGCCATGGGTCCCTTGTACACGGCCTCCCGCATTTGCTGCTGTCATCCATTCGCCACACTCTGCCATGTGCCACTTTCAGGTCCTCCTCACACTGCTGGTTGTGTTGAATTTTTTGACACATTTTTTTGGGGTGCTGGGCAGATTACAGGCCTCCTATAGCTGCTGCCAGGCCCCTAAATCTTGCATGTGGCCCCTTATACCAGCCTCCTCGATGCTGCTGCCATAGGTCCAGAGTCTCTCATGGGTTCCTGTACGGCCTCCCTAATTGCTGCTGTCTCCATCGCCATGTGCCACTTTCAGTCTCCTCACACTGCTTGTGGGTTCCATTTTTGTTCATAGGGTGCTGACACAGCATTACGGGCCTCCCATTGCTTTGCTTGCCAAAGGCCTGTAATCTGCCATGGGCCTCCGTACCGCCTGGTCACGCTGCAGCTGGGTCACACAGTGTGACATGGGTGGGGGGTTTTATATTTTTTCCCTGTACCGCCTCCCAATGCTGTCCATTCTGTGCCATGTGCCACTTTGATAGGTTCTCCTCACACTCCTGCCTGGTTTCCATTTTGCAATAGGTTGCTGTATGGCCTCCCATTGCTGCTGCCATCCACCGCCACACTGTGGCTCCAAACACTGGTTTTGGCCCCGAGTGACTGCCCAAATGTGTGAAGTTTGTTGTAGTGCGGTGATTCTAAGATCGACGGCACTCATCTGCATGTCATACTGACTGACAGTATTATTTTCTCTTACCGCCAGCATGACTCAAAGGGCATATTAAATTAAAAAGGTACAGTGTTCTTGCACTAATATTAAGTCTCTCTGAAGCCTAGGTAACATCCCTTTTTTTAAGATAAATTCACAGCGAATATATTCGACTCGAATCGAATATTTTCCACGTATTCGCCGAATCAGTCGTATCGAATTTTTGAATACTTCGCTACATCTCTAGTAGAGAGCACAGGAAGTAAAGTAAAGGCCTGCCATAGATGGAGCTATTTTCTGCAGGAAAGAAAATCCCCTTGATTTCCCTTTTTAAACAACAGTTGGTGTTGTTGGGGGAATCTCTTCTAAGGAGCCATTGTGTTCTCCTGGCATCCCTGCCTAGAGAACACAGTGATTACTGCTAGGCTTATAATAGCCACTAAGTAATAATCCCATGTAAAATTCATATCCGACAGGCTGGTTTTACCCAAGTTGACGGATCAATCAACATTGGATACATTCAGCCTTCCCATACAGATGGTTTGAATCTTAGCCGGTCCACTACTTGACTGGCTGAGCTTCGAAACCATCTATGGCTACGGCTTAACAGAGAGTCTATGTAAAGCTGCTTCCCTGACCCACTGAGGACCTCCCCATCACTACCCCTGTTGCTCCATCCTTTGTCACAGCGCTGCCACCAAAATATCTGGAGTTGGAAACTAAAATGTTGCACTAACTTCACCCCCTTTGTCCTGTGTAACTGTTTAGGACTAGCAATTGGCCACTATACTCAGGCACTGCATTTCCAAAGGAAGTAAACTCTCTTTCCCAAGGGCACTGGGTATTTTGCATTGTATGTTTTGGTACATAAACTGTGTCCCCCACTGGGAAGATTTCTCATCCACTTCAAGTTTCTACAGAAAACGTCATGGGAAATCTCCCTAATGGGCATCCTCAAATGTGCACATCTTAACTGCAAATGTAGTCCAATGTAGCTGAAATGACCTTGATGAATTACGTGTTGTTAATAATCCATCATAAAGTGTATAATCTGCAAGACCATGGTTGCTTGTCCAGAGTAGGAAGCAATGGACCACTAAAAAGGACTCTAACACAAGGCAAACGTGACAGTACTGTGGGTCCCTTATTGGGCTTAGAAATGTTGTTTTATGTGATTATTTATCCACCTCAATACCAGACACTTTCACCCACTTCCCACCCAGGCCATTTTTCAGTTTGTCAGCTCTGTTACACTTCGAATGATAATTACTCAGTCAAGCAACATTGTACCCAAATTAAATTTCTAAAAAAATTTTTTTAGACAGAGCTAGAGCTTTCTTTTGATTAGTATTTAAAGTTTTTTTTCCTTTGTTTCTATTATACAATTTAGATAAATAAATAATTTTTCATGCATACATTTAGGCCTACAATAAAAATGTATTTACTGCTACATTTCTTTGGTAAAAATAAATCCAAACATGGTGTATAATTTTTAGTCCTGTGTGAAAGTTATAGATTCTACAAACTATGGGTATAATCAACAGTATATCTGAAAATTGATCATTCCTGTATGTACTGACTGCTTATCTAATTTATTAAGGGACCCTAAAATGTCATGGGCAGTACAAATACCCGCCGCATCTTCCCACTTCCCAAATGAATAGTAGGTATTCATAATAAGAGGCATGGTGAGTTTTGAAGTTGTCATTTTTTTTCACTTTTTTTAAAAAAAAAAATAATAATTTTTTTTTATAATAACTCATAATGTCTCCCACATTGCATATGCATACTTAGAATTACACTGCAAAAAAAACACATTTTGCTAAGAGGATACCCACATTGTGTGGGAATTTTTCCACAGCTTTAGCCCAAAATCCAAGGAGCATCTTTGGGCTTTCAAGGAGCGATACAAATTACAGGTAAATTATGGATCTAATTTCCTGACTACCTATCTACATTTCTGGAGGCCCTGGAGCATCAAGACAGTGGCAAAACCCACAAAATGACCCCATTTTGGAAAACCAAACATAACTGCAAGGCATTTTCTATGAGGTATAATGAGTCTTTTGAAATTGTCATTTTTTTGCCACAATTTTTTGGACATTATGCATGAAAATGGTGTTGTTGTTGGTGGTTTGTTTGTTTTTTTGAAAATCAAAAATGTATTTTTTTTTCACACAGTTGTCATTATTATTAAGATACATTTCTATCACACATCATAGAGCATACTTACATCGCAACACACACTTCTGCTACTGTTACCACATGCATGAGACTTTTTCACAGCCTAGCCACACACAGAGGGGCCAAAAGTATATTCAAGAAGGATAGTTAAGGTTAAGGGAAGAAATGGGGCCTCTTCAAGACAGTTTTCTTCTAGGGCCTTAATATATGCATCTAATTTCTTGGACTACATATTACATTTTCGGAGGCCCTGGCAAAGCAGTACAGTGGAAATACCCATAAAATATGTCCAATTTTTTTGTAAAAAGAAAATGCTTGGGTGCAGAGGCATGGAGAAGTCTTTTGAAGACTTCATTTTTTGGCAAAAGTTTTTGAGAAAATGCAGAAATTAAATTTTTTTTGCAAAAAGTTGCCAATTTAATAAGATATTTCTCACATACAAGTGCATCGGCCATACTTAGAATTACAACCGAAAACACATTCTGCTACTCCCCTCTGAGTATGGTTGATACCACATGCGTGAGACTTTTTCAATGAATGATTATGTACTGGGAATTGTATCTTTTTATTATATAAATCAACCAATTTGTATCAAAAAAACCAATTCCTGGCTGCCAAAATGACAGCTGGGAGTCACTGTGTAAAATACAGCAGCTGTAGGTGCTGATACTGTCAAAAAAGTATGGCAGAGAACAGGTGATTACAAAAGTTAGATTTCAGTATTACTTTTGTATTCTCCTGTTTAGAGATGCGCGAATTGAACATGGCAAAGTGGAATTCGATATCGAATATTAAGGAAAATTTCGATTCGCAGACGAATCCGAAAATTAACAGACTTCGGATGCGCGAATCAAAATATTCCTAAAATGGCGGCGACATGTGGCGGCGACGGAGCGGGGATCTCTGG